CACATATTCAATACTCTAGAATGATTTCATCTTTTGGTTGTCGTTATAAATAAATAAAAACTATATATACATAGGTGTCGCCCTATGCATGGTAACTACTAGAACCCATATTACTCAAGAATGATTTCATCTTTTGGTTGTCGTTATAAATAAAAAAACACTATATATACATGGGCGTCGCCCTATGCATGGTAACTACTAGAACCTATATTACTCAAGAATGATTTCATCTTTTGGTTGTCGTTATGTGAAAATCAAAAAGCGGTTGAACACGTACACAAAAAGAATGTGACATTTTGACTGACAATCAATTTGCGAGCAAAATATTCGAGAAGAACCACAATGTTATTGCCACAAGTTAAACTTAAATCCTATTTAGTCGGTAAAATCGTTATTAGATATCACAACGAAAAAACCTTCTTTTGCAACTGTAACATTTTCATTAGTCATTAGTATTTACTAAATCGAGTGCTGAAAATCGACAGAGAATAGTTCAAATAAAATAATAGCCAAAACCAACCAAGATATTTCAAAACAAGACGAGTATGTAGATAATTCTAGTGTGTACACAAAAATACTTCTGTCTCGTCTTGATCTCATACGAGGAGAGTCACAAGAGTAATGTGTCTGCAGTGTTCTTAATACTCACAATRATAAATACTATACGTATATGTCGTAGAATGCTGCGGATTCCCCTACTTATAGAGATAAAATAACCGAGAATAAAAGAAAATGCAAGTTTAATAAGACACCTAGACCCAGATACTTACCCCAGGTGACCATAAGGACTTCAGTACAGATTGTGAGTATTGTTTAAATGGTTTTTACTAGCCTCTAAAGCGGCTCAAAATCAATTCTGGTAATTTATAATTGCGGTCCACCTGTGGTGGAAAATAAACACTAGAATGTAGCAATTTTGAGACGTCACTTTTCGTCGTCACCAGATTCCTCCCCCGCGTGAGACGCAGGGGCGATGAACGCGCAGCTGTTGYACGATATGTGGTGTAGCAACAGAATAGCATGTGTTAATAGAGGTATTCATTTTAAGCGTTTGTCAAAGATAGTGATAAACAAACAGCTGGTAATATAGTAAAAAATGAAATACAATACTTAATTGATGCTAAATGAAATTTTACGCGCGTTGTAGAATATTTTTGAAGCGTTTTCGAATAACGCTTTCTTAACCTAACTAAGGTAATGACTTACAACACGTTTACAGTAAGGTATGCCGTAGCACTGGAATGGCTTACCAATAATTATAGGAATTTAAAATCGTACGGCAAYGGAGACTCAATCGTTGCCAAAAGGAAAAAACGAATTCTACTTTTTGCAACGATTGCTGCAACTTATCTGGCAACAATTTTCAAATTGCGCTGTAGGTTACACGCTGCAATGCTCGATGCAACTTGTGTCGCAACGCCAAGTTGCAGAGAAAATTGCTCCGCGTAATCGCGCCTTTAGTCTCAGTCATGAAATTTGCGCCAAAATAACATGGGCGTCGGTCGTATCGAAAAATTATTATATTTTTACGCAGCAAAGCAAATAGAAYCGTGTAAATACTCAAAGTAATCGATGGCTTCTTTCCTAATCCTTTTCTGTCACAAACATGGATTTTTCCGCATTCAGACTTTGCCCTTCCGGGTCATTGTGACCACAAACCAAGCGATAATCACCGGGGTTCGCTGTAAAAAGTACGTTTCAATTTCGAGAATCAATGCCTGTGGGATTGAAGTGCGCCACAAATTTTAGATCAAACGTTGCTGAAGCAAAATGATTTAAAACAGCACGAAAAGTTTGTTCTATATTTGTAGTAATTCCAATTTATACTTCCTTCTGGCCCAAAACCACAAATTAAGTGACATACACCGCATATATATATATATATATATATACACACACACACACTCGATTGCAGAAACGTTGTAGTATACATTTATACATTTATACAAATATCTAATGAGATGCATAATGCAAAACAACAATTTTTAACGCTTAAAACCAACTGATTTATAATGTGTACGATCTAAAGGACAAGAAAAAAATATTTTGACAGTCATTGAATGAAACAAACAATAAATAAAGCGATTTTTCTGTTTCGCATATCATTAAATTTACTGAATGAATTAGATATATGTATAAATGTATACTACAACGATTCTGCAATCGAATGTATATATATATATATAGCCATTTGCAAAAATTATGGCCGCTTCTATACATATGTACCAGTATATCAAAAGCATATCAAAAATTATGGGATAGCTTATATTTTTTTGTTTCTTTATCCCTTATATTTTTTCGAGTTGTCTATCACTAGGGCTTTCTGAAAAAAAATATCAAGAAAGATATCCCGCCCTGTCTGATATACTTTCGATATACTTGTATGTATATTGGAAACGACCATAATTTTTGCAAATAGCTGTGTATATATATATATATGCGCTGTCCTTTGTAATTTTATCAATATATTACTTTCAACGGCAATTAATCTTCACACACAACGAAAACTAGTATATAGTATAGGCGCATGCATGACTAACATTTTTGCTTGTGTCGGGAGCTTGCTATGACTAATATTCTTAAAAGTATATATGGCATGGCGGTTTGTATAACCACCATCATCATGGTTAATTATGTTTTCCCCGATCAACGTCATCAACCATGCAACTAGTTCTTTCTTCACATCATTCCATCCCTCGGTAATAATCGCAAACCACCTATAAAGGAATACATAGGCCTGGTCATAAACGATATACTAGGAACGGTAAAAAGGGTTACACACTCGAGTCAAATTTTAGGGTTAACCCACTGCACGGCACCACAGACCACGTCCTTTAGTATGACAGCTATTTACAGAAAACCCTCTCAATTTGTGCTATTTCTGTTTAAGACTGCTAGAATTRCTAAAAAAGGTTTTAATTCTCAACGTGGCTTCGTAATTTTAAGCCCATTGCGCAAACACTGTCATTAAATTCTAAGATTCTAGATTTATTTTACGTCGACCGAGTGCAGGAAGTGCTTGGTCAACCTGCCGAGCAAGGAGGTCGTGTTTAAGCTTTCGACGCCAACAGATCGAAATGGAATCATTAGCAGGCGTTTTTTAGGGAGGGAGGGAACAATAGTTATCGCTATTCACCGCCACAGGTGGCGAGTTGGCGAGCGAAAACCGAAGAAACCGGAAAAACCCTCGAAGCACAAGAGAAACTAATTTATCCAGCCCCTACCACCTCCAACAAAAAGATTATTTCATTAATTTAATATTTAATTAAACTTGAAATTATACTCAAGGGAATGTCAAATGGTCAGAAATGTGTAAGCGGCTTCACGTCCAGAAAGGGTCTACTCAGATTTGCCACAGGAAGCCCATGATTTTTAGGATTCCTGCAGGTTTAATATCACTCTATCCGTGCGCACGGGGGGAAAATTGAGCAAGCTAATCCCGGGTGTAATAGATAAAGACTGTCTCCAAAACCCAATGGGTAAAGTAAATATTCTGTTGTTCCGTTACAAGTCTGTTTCAAGGCAAATTAATTCTAACATCAATACTGATACACGGTGAATCGTTCAGCCTATCAAGGACTGGCAGGAAGTTCATCATAACGTCTCAATGAAATCTCAGAAACAACCAATCATAATCCAGAAGATTACAGCAATGACGTCACGCTAAATACCACCGTCTGGCATATCATTCATGTAGTAAAGAGTAATATAAGTTTATATGAGAGGAACAAAATATTAAATACTACATGAAGTAATACCTTTCGAAGATTATTAGTGCTTGAATAATTTTTGTCAATAATAAAAACCTTATAAAAACAGTCAAAAAAATAATGAAGAAAGACTTAAATTCTGTTGTGATTAGCGATAATCCACGAAATGTCAAAACCGTTCACATGATATTCAGAAGGGAAGGGTTTAACTAATTCTTTGAATTACACTGAGTTCCGTAAAACATTTGATTTTAAAACTCTGTAAGATTTGGCAATCCCGTCAGCTCTACTAATGAAGACCAAAAATAATAATTAATGGAAAAGATAAAATTAAAAGAAATTAAAACAGATAGAGAAAGGGGAGGGAGGAAAAATCTGAAAAAAAGCTTTATTCCTTCAAGAGCTCGAGATTTGAAGCGTCGCCATGACAGGCATCCCCACGGGGCGTGGGATACAGAATGGACTTTGTCACCTCAAGTTGCGCAAAACCGAAAAAAATGAAAAACATCTTTGAATAATTCATAAAAGTTTGGGTCACATCAGCTGATTAAGAAGAATAGAACTYTTAATAAATGTTTAAATATATGCCATGTTTTGGTTTTCCTTCTAAGGGGTAAAAGATTGAATGAATTCTTTAGCAGGTCCATATTGTTTTAAGTCTGGTTTCAATATCGTGGAATTAAATTCCAAGAAACACATATTCCTAATTTTTTCGCTTTTTCTTTTAAAATCTGGATTATCTTGATTGAGAGTAGAATAGCTTTAAAATCTCTATTAATCTAGGGTATATTATCCAGTTGAAAAGGACYATTAGTGAGTGTTGTTTGACCGCGCGTTCCTTTGGAAAACAAACTATCCTGTTCATGAGCTGGCCGGAATCCGACAAAGATTTGTACACGATTCTCATATCCTCCACAACACGCCTCCGTTGTACGCCAATTCAAAGCCAAAATAAAGCTCAAGAATAACGTGTTTTGTTTGATTCAGCTAGCTTTAGCGTAGCCTATTGTCCACGCCTGTTAACGCGCACTTGACCACCACTCCGAGGTGTTGACTTGCGTAATTGCCACTAATATATATGTGAGACCAGTTTTTGGGAATAGAACGCCGATCCAGATACATTCTTGCGAAGCTTTGTTCCCAAGTTTGGCGGCTCTCTGCGGGTGATGGGATTTGTTAGTATTTTTGCTTATTCACGCTGTCCAAACACACTTGTGTGAAGGACGGCAAGAACAAATATTGACTGAATGCTTACGGCTTCGCTTAACTGATCACGCCATGAGATCCTGCCTCTATATGAATCACAAATGCGCAGACCTTAGACATAGCAGACAGTATGTGACGGCTCTAACAAAGGCTCTATAATATGCGAGCTGTTTTCAATATTCCACTTCATTTGACTAGGAAGGCGGCTCGTTCATTGCGTAGACACTTTGAATACGCGGTTTCACTGCCAAATTCCGGCGTGAGGAATGAGTTGTATCCCTAAAAACGCGGGCGTGCACACGTGAATGCCAGACCACACAATATAAAGCACAAGACGTAAAAAAGTTATGATTTAAACGTCAAAGTTGAGAGCCTAAGCATATCGAGTAAATTCACAGGAATCCTGCAGCGTGGACGAATGGGTCTTTTCAAAATTGTCTTCGTTTTTGTACTATTCGCTCCGGTATGTCATACGCTTCAGCAGTCGCTTAAGCTCAATGAACTAAAAAACGACTTACTGAACTTACTAGATGTGAAGGAAAAGCCTGCTATAACACGAACTCGTTGGCAAGTTCCAAGATTTGTCATTGACTTGTACAAGCAACAAGCCTTCAAAGATGGTTACACCAAGGATGACTCTCCGGGAAAAACTATCCGGACGTTCTTTAGAGGTATGTACACATTGAGTTCAAGTGCCACTGCTTTTCATGTYGTGAGCTTGATTATTCAAAGTCAACTATCTTTATTGCTATGTGTTTATGATGTATGTCAGTGTTCTGTATACAATAGCAATGACTCGTTAACTCTTTCCTCTCTTCCTGATTATGTTACATTGATAGAGCCCAAGGATAAACGCGGTCCACACAAGCACTTGTTTACATTCAACATAACGACAATAAAACGATCCGAAAAAATAGGACATGCAAGCCTACGAATCTTCAAGCGTCGCTCGCGAATGGCAAAGCCTAGTGGACACTTCAAGATCACTGTGTATCGCTTGGCGATTCCTTGGAGGAAGCACAATAGGCGTTGGAAAAAGAAATTAGTCTACTTGGATTCAAAATTGGTCAAATGTCGTAAAGAGGGAGAATGGATTGACTTCAACGTAACCTCTGCAGTCAAAGACTGGACCAATTACAAGTCAAAAAACTACGGTTTATGGTTGTCTGTCCGCGGTTATCGTGTGCCATCGTCTGATTTTAATRTGGCCACAGGTGGGCGAAAAGATCCTTTTTTGGTCGAGTTTGGTGTTGATCGAAAAAAACTGCAAAAAGCTAGGGAAATCAAAGAAGAAAGTGGGGCGAAAAATGAGCTTGAAGAAGTGGCGCTCGTGGAAGCGACAAAAGCGAGAAGTAGGAGATCAGTGTCGGACCTTTGCAAACGTCACAGATTGTTCGTCAAGTTTCAAGACTTGAATTGGGATGACTGGATCATCGCACCGCGCGGATTCAGTGCCTTTTACTGCATGGGAACATGTCCTGAGATAATCGAGAAGTATTTTAATCCAACTAATCATGCTATCATACAAAACCTGATTCATCACAGACAAAGCAAGGCAGTTCCTGCAGCCTGCTGTGTGCCCACCAAACTCCATTCAATAACTATGTTGTATTTTGAGCTAGATGGCAGCATTGTCATGAAGGAATACGGTGAAATGGTTGCCTCCTCATGTGGCTGTCGGTGACCGTCACTTCTGTTTCGCATCTCAAAATGTTCATGAATGTACAGCCTAGAGTAAAGACTCGAAGAGAGAACAACTCTTCAGTGAAATAGTTTATTTATATTGTTGGTGTGCATGACTTTATAGGTTTGAGCTCGTTTTCTTTCACTTTCGTTACCTGTAAAGCGGCTAAACTATTATGTCCATTGAGTTAAACTCATCAATTTGAATGATTGGAACGCCTTTGGCAAAGCCAAAGCTATATGATAAATGAATGAACCAAACCATGATAACTTTAAGAAAGTTTTCAAAATATTCTGTAGGATCTATGTAATTTATGCTGGAATTTGTCTTTTCGGCAATGAGGCATAATTATTCTAATCATACAATACTTTAAATAACTCTGTATTGCATTAATCACCGACTCAAGGACTATATATAAACTTGAATATGAATGTGTAATTTATTGCTTTAGATTTAATTACCGATAAAATTACATTCAATTTTACTGTAATTTGTCCATGCATTTGACAGAACAGATTTTTTTGCTCAATACGATACTCTCTAAAAGTCAACTTCGAATTAGAAGCCTTAATTTCGCCTGGGGCTGGATTTCACAGACTGCTAATTTCCGGTTGGTAGTCTTGATATTGAAGTCAAATTAGCATAAGTCCTAGACTTAGCTGTAAAGGCACGCTTGCTTACTCTACCACAACCTGTTTTGTTGTTTCAATAAAGAAATTTTACAAAAAATGTTGTCAAATAAACTAAAAAACACCACTTGAAAGAGTAAAGCATCCCTTATGGAAACACTTTGGATGTAAAGTTCGTGTATCTGTGCAATTCTCTGCAGAGAATCTGGCCAGAAAATTTGAAAGCCTCCAGGCGTTGAGAACGCGGTCGCCCATCTTGGATAGTTTTGACATTTGTTAATCCATTAAGCTAAATAGACTGAGCAATTAGTTTAATAAAATCACTTGTGATTTGCTACTGGAATACAGTTGTACAAGAGACTGCACTATCATAGACTTCTTCACGTGGTGTCCACGTGATCAGCATGCATGTCTTGCACAGGTGTTCTAAGGTTCCCTGCAGATCGAGCCATATTTGGTCGATCCCTCTATTACAAAACTGAACTAAAAGATCAAAAATAAATTAGATAAAATAGAAGGAGATGAAAATCARTAGCATTATCATACCATCTTCTTTACTTAGACGCTAATGTTAAACTGAAAACAATCAAAATAAAGCCTGACTTTCACGAAAAGCACAACATTGGACAATATACTGATCAACAATAGATGGTTACTTTATTTACGTGTTTTGAGAGTACGATCACATCGAGAAACTTATACAATTGACATTGAATCTTTAGACCTGATGAGGGAGGGCTTGTGTTGTTATATCTAGACTAAACGACCTTGGTTTTTGCTGTAAAAAAAATCTGAACAAATGAAAGTCGCCAACTGAGAAGGTGCATGTGGCGTTTATACTATTATCCAATCAATTTGAGAGTGTTACTATTTTTGGCAATAGTACATAAGTTTATGTAGTTTTACTTAACATGCAAGAATGGTTTTAAAAATTCCACATTGGACAATCAAAAATATAGGGCTTGGGTGTTGGGTCTTGATGTGTAACCTCAATTCAGTATGGAATTAGTAATATATAAAGTAAACAGCCATGAAGATACTTTTGATTAGACGGAATATGATTGATGAGATTTGTCCTGCGGCACGTCACTGTTCAGTCACTGACTTTCGATTCACGTAAAAGTTCAAAGTCATATATATATATACTTAATAAAGCCTCAGGTATCTAGAATAGGCCCATGCACATAATTGAAAAGTGCGTGATTAAAGAGTAAATTTGTGCTCCAAGATTAATTTGGTTTATCTCGAAAATCCGATGAGATAAAATTTGAAATTGCAGCAGTTTTCGCCGTACGAACCCTGAGTAGTACTGAGAGCATTAGCAAAACAAACGGCTAGAAAAAAAATATACAATGAACAACTATTTAAATCTTAATGATAAAAGGGTAAATTATTCATATGTCTAATACTGCATATCTCTTTAATTTCATTGAAGCAATTCACGTATCTGTAGATCATATTTAATATTTTCATTTATAAGTGAATGATGGGGGTCCTAGCTTTGAAAACTTGTTACTTCAGCTCCCCAGCACCTCATAATTTACCCTTTTATCATTACTGTTTCATTAGAAACACCGACGCAGCTCACACACAGTAGTTTTAAGGTAGTTATCTCTTCTAACTATTTAAATCATGGGTTATCAGGGGATCGAATAAGTAGAATTTTTCGATATCTTATAACACTTTAATAAATCAATTTGACAACGGATACTTTTAATTCTTTAACAGTGTCAATTAAAAAATCGTATGCTTTCCGGGTGTAAGTAAGTTCATCTCGTCATTGCTTATCCTCGGTGCAGTCGAGTAGTAGCATTGTATTTGTTCAAGAGCTTTCATATTGACAAAAGAAATTTTTTATGAAAGTATCAGAAAAATGTCTCGAATGAGTAGGTCAAACAATACACTCACTTCGAGAAAGTAGGCCAGAGTTAGGCGAACAACATAATTGATTAGCCTTAAGGATATAATCTAGAAAACTTTTAAAAAACATGTAAACATTTTGATAGGAAATAAAAGCTTTTCTTGAATCAAAGATGTTAATTCTTTTCCAGTAGAACTTTAGAACTTGTGGTTGAAGTGGAAGGAAGGAGTAGGGAAAATCATTCGCTTTTTACTCGCCAAACAACTGGTTTATTCGGCTTTGTTTCAGTRTGGTTCTTTGATGGCCGGTGAAATGAGTAACGTTGATGGTCAACATCTGATCAAGGAAGGGAGGAGACAATCTTTTAGACTCGATGTCTTTAACAACAATAACGGAGTAAATGTATCCGATACTTTATCCGATTGTGGTGGAACACTTATGATAAAATGACCGCGTCTTTAAATAAACACAAGATTACAGACCCACCACAGTTTTCCCGTTCTGAAATCAATAACATTAAAAAAGACAGCTAAAGAAAAACAGAGCATATATAGATTGCTTCCTCCCCACTCGAAATTAATAATGAAGTGGCTATACTTAAMCCTTGCTCTACATTAACTTTATTTAACCCTTGAAAATAAGCAAAGATTCCGCTAAGACAATTTATACTRAAATAATGATTGAATGAAGCCAGTTTGAGAGGCGTCGATGCATTGGTACTATAAAAAAGTACAAAATGATGGCTTATGAGATAGTTGAAACAACTTAGTTTGAAATAATGATGCAATAAAGACGCAAAATTATTAGTTAAATCGTTAAATAACGATTTATTTTTAGCAAAACAAAAACATGCATATTTAGCAAAAAAATTAACAATTCATATTTAGCAAACACGAAAGAGAAAAAGAGCAAGAGAAAGAGAAAAAGAGACAAACAAATAAACCTAGAGTGAAAATTGAGACAAACAAATAAACCTAGAGTGAAAATTAAACAGTTTTGGGATAAAATAGGGACTGATTAGTTTGTAAAATATATGTTTGTTTTTAATGTGTGTTTGTTTGTTTTGCGCAAAAGTGACGTATATAGCATTCCAGGAAGACCAACGCCTAACTTTGATCGAGCCAAATTCCTGTGATTTTTCGCATCATCCTATTTTTACATTAAGTATTTACTTCATTGATCCCTGCCCATCCTAAAGGAACATCTAAGAGCCATTTACGGGGAACAAACAATGATTAAAGTAGACAAGGAAAAAATTAAAGGAATTTGAAAAATGGGTTGGAACTGCCGAGTGAACGTGATAAGTTTGGTGTTGTTTGAAAACTATTTCACGGTCTACTTAATTCTATTCAATTCTTTGGATTTCCTGATGATATGACACTCATGCTGTACGTGTATAGTCATGTTAACTTTCACAAAGTTGGTCTTGTTACGTTTAGGTGATTTGGAGAAATTTAAGGCGGGGTTTTGAAAGGGATGTGGCAAGAAAAATAGCAAGTGTTTCCAAGGATAGAGCAGAGTGGGTTCTAGATTATACTCTAAGAACAACAAATAGTTATTTCCGATGCTGAAGTAGTGCGTTTTTCCTATCACGTTAATGGAATAAACAGGAATTGAAAAGAAAAGGAAAGGGATGGGACGCAAAAGGATGGGATGAGAAAGAAGATGAAAGGAAAGGAAACAAAAGAAAGAGCACACTAGGCAAAGAGGAGGAGAAAGAGGAGAGGAAAGTAAATAATATCAGTTTGGAAATAGAATAATTTTACTTGGCACAAAGTTTTCTAGTAGAGTACAAACAATTAATCCGTGAAACACTAATTACTAAATAGTACAAAACAGTGCTTATTAAACAATAATCAAAAATATCGGCGGTATTTATAAAAATTTAAACTATCCTGAAAACTCTTATCGACTTTCGTAAGGAAAATGATGAATGTCTGGATTGGATGGTCATATTTTCAGCCAAGATTAATTGTGACAAGCTCTGAAATGTACAGGCCAGTTACTTCAGTCACGGACTGCCGCAATGATACTTACAGTAAGTATACAGTATACTTACACATTCTTACACATGGCTCTTGATGAATTTCAAGTTGAAACTTAAAGTAAGCCCTGTAGTCTAGTGACGAACTGAAACTACTTCTAGATATTTCAGATAAACTTAAAGTTGAACTGATCAGGATAGTGTAAAGTCCATTGACGCGGTTCGTTTCACTTCCATTAAATCCTTGGCGACTTTATGTCTCATGTATTAGCTCTTTGAGAATCAATATTTCGTGATTACTTTACATAATCTACAACTTTACATTTCGTGTRACAAAGCTTCTTTCTCTGGATTACGAGAGAAGAATATCGATAAAAACAAGGTTAACGATCTGTATGTTGGTGGTGCTTGAGTTTTGACTAAAACTGAACGAAGAAATGACATTTCGTTTTAAATTTTAATGTCACTTTTTCTTCTGAACATTTTTGGTAATTTTGATTAATTACTCTTCTCCTTTCAGCTCTCATTGACATGGCTTTTTTACCGAGGTTCACATAGATTTCTAACTACCTTAATTCAAGTTTTATTTACATCCTGAAGATCAATAAGCTTACCAGACAAGAACTCAATTCGAGGCAGTCACTTGACGTCGAACCGTTCAGCAAGGCTGGTTTACGGAGGTCCAGGGGCGGYGAGGAAAGTGGCGAAGAGGGTGACGACTAGTCATCCCTTCACCCTTTACATAAATMAATAATAATAGTAATAAATTATGAGGGAAGCTACGTTTTACATCATGAAGTTAACTTTATTATAATGGTTGTAGCCATCGAGCCATCGCCCTTTTACTAAATAAGAAAGGTTCGGCCCTCTATCATGACGACTCTCCCCTCTAGAACCCAGCTCTCCCTCCCCCAATACGTACCTTACTTAACTGTAAACACTTATACGAATAAATTTTCACAATGTTTGCTTAAAGCTCTCAAATTTAATGTCCATCAATTTCTATCATTTCCCCGCCTAYTCTGGGTTTCCTGTGGCATTGCCGCGTTCGTTCTTCGTTGCAATACTCGAGGTACCCTGTAACAGTTAATCCCGTTTTAAAAATCCTGAATCCGCCCCTGAGATCAATGGCGAACAAYTAACCTTTTTCTACATTCATCAGTGATCCACCTGAAGTATTGAAACCTAAAAGTCGAAACAAGAGTGCAAAATGACCAAGGAACCTTAGTCATGCTCAGAAGTCCTACTAGCGAACTTGGCCAYACTTTTTGTTTTCATCTTCCTGCTAATGAACCTCTCTTCATTCCAGCCCCCAAGTCACATAATATCAAAGTATTCATTATCAAGGCGAACGTTCTAGAATTTTAGCGTTATGCTTGATTTCAGTAACCTTTATCATTTCGGTTCTTATTTACGCTTAATGTCATCAAAAGGGTATGTTGTTTAGCTTCATTTTCACGTTTCCTTACGTCTTCACGCTATTCCAGCCGTCACCGTACAACCAAGCTCTCTGTAAGTCCCTGTTCAATAGTCTTCAGGTCTTCAACATCTTCTTTAATAATACTGATGAGATGCATGACTCCYTCTTGCTGCTGAGCYAGGTGCTTTTACGWGGAATTACAWTAAAWAGAAAAAAGAAAAAGRAAATAKRATTCATTTYAYATTCTTAAAAAAWWMAAARMGC